CCCGTCCCCGTCCCCGTCCCCGTCCCCGTCCCGCCCTCACCATCGCAGGCGTCTCCCCGGAGTCCTTCCGCGCAGCTCGCAGACCGCGGTCCCGGCGAGGAGGGACGCCCAGCCACGCGCTCGAGTCCCGGAGCCAGCACCGGAAGTCCCGCCCACACCGCCGCCTCCGATTGGACAGTTCGTGCAGCCCGCCGGGTGCGCGGACTGAGCAGAGTGAGCTCCCGCCTGCTCCCGTGCAGTTCAAAGGAGCTCCTCGGGAACCGGGACCGGCTCCGCTGTCCGGTGTCGCCATCGCGTCATATGAGAGGCTGCACTTGCACCTGCTCTCCTGGCTCCGCGGGCGTACCCCGGTTTCCTCAGTGGACTCAGGGTCGCCTTCCTGAAGTGGGGTCGCTTGCGTGCCCCTGTAAGGCCCAAATAATTTTTAAAGTTCAAACTCCAGTTAAAAGAGACCACCCACCGGTTTATAGTGTAAAGCCCAAAGAATTTTTAAAGTGCAAACTTCGGTCACAAGGGACCACCTACTGGTCCTTGACCATAAGGCTTAAGTCACCCTTATCTTGGAACCCAGGTGGAGTCATAAAGCCTCAGGCCTGGCTTAGGTAAACATTTGATAAACCCACCAGCTCTGGGAATACAGCTGAAAGCACAAAGTTAACTATTTAGTTGCCCTGTAGCCTGCCCCTCTTAGTTTCCTCGAAAGGTCATATATTCTCAAGCCCACCAATTATTTTAAGAACCAACCCAAACTAACCAATGCCATTCGCTTGGGTAATCCCGCTTGCTAAAATCCCTCCTCCCTTTGTCTCTGGACTTAAAAACGCAGCCCACGGTCAGCTCACGGTCAGCCCACGGTCAGCTCGGCGCACTCTGTTCCTGCGTGTTCAGACCGCCCTGCGTGGACGTAGACGATAAAGCTTGCCCTTTGTGATTTGCATGAGAGATCGACTCTTGGGACCTTCCTTAGCGGCGGCGACTCAACCCTTACAATAGCCATAGGGCTTGAGTAACCCATACTCCAGAAACTCCAGATGGAGTCATAAAACCTCAGGCCAAACTGAAAAGAACATTACCTCTGGGCTTAGGACATTCTTATGAAATAGGTTACAATGTTCAGTTAAACCACCCGCTCTCCAAATACCACCGGGACCACAGAGTTAGCTCATAGTTACCCTTTACCTACCCCTTTCTTAGTTTCCTTAAAAAGTCATATATTCAAACCCACCAATTATTTTAAAGGTCATCCTAAAAGTAACCAATGCAATCTGCTTCTGTACACCGCTTGCTCCCTCCCCCTTTTGTGGTTTTTGCCTTTAAA